CTTCTGCATTATGTAATGTGGTAAAAAAACAAAAAAAAACATGTATTTTCCTATTTTTATTTATTTCTATTTATCTGTTTTCTTCTTCTTCTCATAAATTGATTCTGGTTTTCTGATTGTGTTTTGTTTCCTTGGGTAATCAGTTTTTAATTTTAAACATTTAAAAGCATTTAATTTTAAACAAATATATTGCAAGGTTAACTGATAAAAAGGATTTAGTGCCTAGAACAATGATGTTTATAAAACAATTACTACCTATAATTGCTGTTAACATGCCTGTCTAAATTCTTGGGCATGCAACCCTTCATAGGTCAATCTGCTGTGCATGTGGCCCTTCATTTCAAAAGGTAGTGCACCCCTATTATAATAATAGTAACATTTTCCCTTAACTTTGAAGGCTTATACAGATTGAAAGCATGCATACTTGATTTTTTTAGATCATGTATGCATGCTTTTGAGATGTTAAAGTAAATACTACTAAAAATTGACCTGAAGTTCAAATTAATTAAGCAAGAAAAAAGATTTTAAGCATGCTTTAGAATTTAATTGGAAAAAAAAATGCTCCTCACACTAAATTTTTAAATGAAGTTACTTCATAACTTTTTAATTTTACTTGAATATCACTTTTGAAATTTAATAGCATTAAGAATAATAATGAAAACAATTATAAAATGCAATTGAAGTCTTCAAAATTAAAATGAGCTTTAAGAAGATTTAGAAAGAAAAACAGACCTTTTTATGGGCTCCTAAAACCATATTTAAATTCAAGGCTTTTTTAGGAATGGAAACCCTTTCATACAAGTGGATTCACAGTGAACGCCGTATGGTATGCCATCAGACGGCGTTCCGCGCAACCGCACTAGCTCGAAAACAGGCTTGATATACTGACGTCACTTCTCCTAAATACGCCATTCAATCGGAGTGAGTGGTGAATTTTTTATACTAGGCAACCGGCTAAATTGAGCCAGCGCATAAACAACTCAACTCATTTTCCCAGACAAGTGTTTTTGTTATGATTTAGCGTAAAACGTGTTCTATTCGTATTTTTTAACAAGATTTATGAAAAGTTTTTATAATGAAGAGAGGAAGAAATTTAAGTGGAGCGGGTGGCTCACGGAATAGCGATTATTATATGAAGCGTTTACGCACAATCGATAGTATAGGAACGAAATCAATTAAAAAAAATTTTCAGTCTGAAAAAACTGAGGAGAAACCGTCATAACAGTCGCCGTCTGAAAAAACCGTCACAGTTGATAACGAGGCACAGTGTATTAAAAATGCTACGGAACCAATGATTGAAGAGCAAAACAATTCAAGTTTTGTTACAAAAAAAAAANTATTTTTTTTTTTTAATCAATACTTAATTTTCACAAAAATAAAAAAAATTTTCACAAAAATAGGTACTAGGATTGAAAACCTGGATTAAGCCCTGGTTAAAGTAAATACTACCAAAAATTGACCCGAAGTTCGAATTAATAAAGCAAGAAAAAAGATTTTAAGCATGTTTAAGAATTAAATTAGAAAAAAAAAATGCTCCTCACATTAAATTTTTTAATGAAGTTACTTCATAACTTTTTTAATCTTACTTGAATATCACTTTTGAAATTTAATAGCATTAAGAATAATAATGAAAACAATTATAAAATGCAATTGAAGTCATCAAAATTAAAATATGAATGAGCTTTAAAAAGGTTTAGAAAGAAAAACAGACCTTTTTATGGGCTCCTAAAACCATATTTAAATTTAAGGCTTCTTAGGAATAGAAACCCTTTTATACTTGTGAATAAGCAAATTTTTAAATATTACCACAGCTACGGCAAATAGCTTAAATTTTATAATGGTTTAGCCTAATAACTATTTTTATTGCTTACTCAGGAAATGAAAGCGCAAAAAAAAATTTAATAATGTAATCTACATGCATTTAAAAAGGTTTTAAACACAAGACTTGAAATTTTCATATTATATGAACTAATGATTATTTTAATAACTAATAAAACTGATTCACAGACGTTAAAATTATTTTTACTCACCATCTGGGTAGTTGAATTCGGGATTCTTTTTCCACTTTTCTCAATTTGAATCTGTGTTATGGTAAATGTTTCTTTCAATTAAAGTTCCAACGTAGTTGCCGATAAATCTTTTACATTTGGAGTAGGCCGTAGTTCAAATATAAGATGCAAGTGATTAGGCAGTTCTTTGTAAATATTCTTTACATAAAGCAGAAACATCTGTATCTAAAAATAATTGGAAAATCAAAAAAGCTTAATTATTTGTTACAATTTAGAATATATTTTTTTCTTTCTATCGGTATGTAGCATGATAGTGTAACCAACCGATTTCACGATGCTATTAAGAATCATACTATTAATAATCATACATTACATTAATGCTCTTTCAAATATTTTGCCTTTTTTAATATAATCATAATTAATATCATGATGTTATATATGATAATTATACGATATGGTAAATACTTCATATAATTATTATAATTACATATGTTATCACGATAAAGGTGGAGCATGCTTATATATCACAAAACTGTATTTATATTGAACAATGCAGAGTATTAAATATTTATACACAATATTTTTTCTTTTTCAATAGAGAGTTTGTCATAAACCAATTCTGATTAAATAAGCAACAGACACTACAAAAGAAAGCATCTGTAGTCAATTATTTTTAATTAAAAATTTAAAAGAAAAAAAACACATAAATGTTTCACAAAATTTGAACAAGAAACTAAAAAGAATATAGTTCTTTTATAAAAAAAAACTTCTATTAAAAACTTTGAGAAATTTAAACAAGAACATTTTAGGAACAATTTGTCAAGAAATTTCTGTACAAAGAATTTAAAATGAGTTAACTTTGTGTGATCATTGACATTTATATCGCAAAATACAGGCATATAAACTTTATTTATAAATTGATTCAAAGCACAACTATTATCGTCCTCTCTTTCCTCTATTGTTTCCTTCCTTCATTTTATGAATAATTATTCATAGAAGCATTTATCATTGTAATGGAAGACTATATTTAAACTTTTAAGTGCAAAATANATCATTGTAATGGAAGACTATATTTAAACTTTTAAGTGCAAAATAACTAATTAAACAAACAAACAAGTGAAAAATCTAAAAAAAAAAAAATCTCTTATAAGATATATAATTAAAAAAACAGTAGTCAGAGTAATGTAAAATGATAAATAACTAGTAATATTATGTATCCTATTAAATAAGATCCACTCAAGTCAATATATTTTCCCCCGTGCAAATGTAAGTTAATAAACCTACAGAAACACATTCCAATCAATGTAATGCAAAAATTCACAAAAGTTGATTAATAAAATAGTTTTCCATGAATCTGTACATTTGTGAAATATATTAATACAAAAGCAAATTCATTGAAAAAGATAAATCATATAAATAACACATTCTTACTTCGAAGCTGCATGGTGGCCTGAAGGTCTTATAAAATTCTATGATTATTCTTAAAACTACCAATATGTTTTCCTCATTTTCCACCTAAAATATAAAGATTTGAATAAAAATAAAATATCAATAAAATCAGTATAGGAGAAGTCATAAAATTCCAACATTAAACATACAGGGGAAATATAAGTTGAGAAAAATATCTGCATAGTTTCTTTAAGTTTTTATGAAAGCAACAAAATTCTAAGTTTATAAATAGCAACATTTTATTAGCTAATCTTTTCAGATGTAAACATCAATCTAATGTAGTAAGGTAATTTCTAAAAAATAAAAATTTAAAAATTCATCAAGTATTTAAAATAAAAAATTCAGTTTTGAGATGAAGCACAGTAAGTCAAATTTTATTTTCACTGTAAATTCTGTGACAAAAAGTGCTACTCTTTTCCCTCAATATGAAGGAAATACAAACGTTTATCTTTTATTCATTATTATAAAATGTAGAGAAGGAAATTTGAAAATTGTAGCGAAGAAAATTTTTGGTTTTCAAAAAATATTTTCCGCTATTCAAAATTTTTATCAAATAAACTTCACAAATAAAATAAAATGGGCAGAAATTTTTTTTGTGTTCACAACATAATAAAATGATTTTAATAATCAGAAAATATTCCAGTAGTCAGAATAGTTCTAAAAAAAATAAATTTCCTCCTTCATTTTGAACCAATAAACAAATAAGCAAGGAAATAAGGGGGGTAATTAATCAAATATATCATATCAAGTTCACTTTATTTTTATTAGCATGACTTTAATGAGTTCTAGATAATATATTTTGTAATATACTTTGCACATTACCTCTATTTAATGTTCAAAGAGCAAATAGTTCAGCATCAGGGCCATTTAATTTATAAAGTCAAAAATTTGATTCCTAATGCATTGTGCAGAATTTTTTTATCATATTCCATGTTTCATTATATAATTACCAAAAAAAATTCTAACTAGCAATTAATATGTTAAGCGCAAAATGTATTGAAAAAATGAGCCTGGAAAATTAATTTTTCAACTAACATTATTAAGTACGCAATGTAAAGATAGCTCATTAATTTGCTTGAAAGTAATCCCCCTGTTGACAACAAATCATATATTCAGAAATCATTAAAGTGTAGTAAATCACTCTCACAACAGCCTGTTGTAGGTCAGGAGGGATTTTGTCAATGTTAAGCACAAGTTGCTTTTTCTTCCTAAAACAGCTCACACTTATGGATCTAAAATCTCATGCCAAGATTGAGAATCCATCCCCACTCCAGCACATGGATAGCTTGGTGCCTTTGACCTCTGAGTCGATTTTGAAATCATTTCTGTGAGTATTAAAGTGTCTTTTAACATGTTGAGGTTCACATCAGCCATCAGTGACTGACACTGAACCTTTTGTTTTGGTCGTGTCAGTCACCGGTGAGTGACAATGTTTGATATAAAACAGAAAAAATTATACAGGTCACATTATTATTTATTTAAAATTTCTTAGTAGTGTGCTCAACATTGTCATACCACATTAGAGTACTTCTCAGCAGCAAAGGGATTTCCTTNCACATTATTATTTATTTAAAACTTCTTAGTAATGTGCTCAACATTGTTATACCACATTAGAGTATTTCTAAGCAGCAAAGGGATTTCCTTAAAAATACGGGATAAAAAATATTTATTCAAAAAATAATGAATAATTCTTGATTTATTAGTCATTAACTTACTCACTTGATATATTCTAACTAGGTAAGCTAGAAAGGATAATGTTTTTATCTATGCAGCCATAAAGTTAACATAAACTTCTTTGTTGAAAGATGGATTGCTCCTAAAATAAAACAAAACAAAAAATAAAATTTCTGCAAACATTCTGCATTTTGTCTGCTTTTTTCTCCCCAAGAACAAATTAAATGCACAAAATTTAATGTTTAACTTTGTCCCACCTAGTCACTAAACATAAAATTCTTTCACAGAATACAATTGAATGAGTAAAAAACAATAATGTAGAGTTTTATTGTATAAAACCACTCTGACTTGATCATTTGGTATAAAATATAAAATAAGTAAAAAAGAAAGACATTAAGGTATATTCTGCATGCAAATAGTTAATTTAAAAGTTTTTCTCTATATTTTCTACAATATCTTGGCTGTAAACATTATAAAAATGAAATTAAAATGACAAGCGAGTCAAGGATAAAAACAACAATCAAGATAAAAATCAATAAAATAGATTTCACAGCGAAAATCACGCAAGTTGACCATTTGTAATGTACCAATTTGATGGCCTAGTTTGAGAAGTAGTCAGTATATTAAGAGGTGATGCAAGAGTGGTGTTTATTATAGTCTTGGTATACCTAGTGGGCTGATCAACTTATTAAGTTACATTGAACTCCATAGTAAAATGTTTGCTTCAATTAAGAAAGCTTTATTTTTAATAAGTGTAACAAAGTAATAAAATATGATATACACGATATCATCAATATTCCTTAGACTATTTTTTTAGTTGAATATAAGACATCGTTTTAAGATATTTAGAAAAAAACTTACTCACACTTTGCAATATTTTTGCTGCAAACCTTTCCAAAGAAAAAGAAAAGACATTCCAGCTTCAATCAAGGATAAGAATAAAAACTGAGACCAATAAAATAAATCTGATTTCATTTGGATACAACATTTGTTTTAATTAAAAAAAGATTAACAAGTTTTTATTTTTGAAAAAGATTACAAAATGTCAAATTTTTTGTAATATTGACAAATATTTC